ATTAACAATGCATTTAACGAGTAAAGTCATTTCGAATTCACCTTGTTAAAACGTGCATCCCTCGCTTTATTGTAGCGGATTTAAATTCTTCCATCCTTACATGGAATGATTTGTTTAGGCTAATGAATTAATAATGTCTTCTTTTGCTTCTGAGATGCGCAGCTAAACGTAATACACCACGTCTTGTAAATAATTAAGAATGAATATGGCTTCTTATTATGCTAGATCTGGTATTAAGTGATGAAGCTGCTTCCACAGTTCGAGAGGTTTATCATCGATGTGAAAAGAACGTAGGCCAACTTTAGGATATTAAGCAAGGGTCAAGCTCATATTTCCTCATATCCCGAGGCTAATATCCCGATGGGAGAAAAATGGTTAAATGTTCCGGAGCAGAACGACAAAGGCAATATTTGACAATGTCGCCATAGAAAAGAACGCTTGCAGCCTTCCATCTCTTTCCGGTCCTTAAAGTCAAGAATTCTGTATAACCTTGCAGAACCTCCCCACCGTCAGTTCGTGTTCACTTTCCCTCGCGAAACAAATCGACCATTCTATGAGTCCACGCTTAATTTCTCTTTATTGCAGTCGAGCAACAATTTCTACGCCTTCCTCGAAAAGCTTTTGATGCTTACAAATCCAGGCTTATATATATATATATATATATATATATATATATATATATATATATATATACAGTGTAACCCGGATATAAGAGAGTTGTCGGGACCGGAGAAGAAGTCGCTTATATCCGGGTTTCTCCTATATCCGGGTTTGGTCTATTTTATATACATTAACACAGGCTCTAATTTGGGACCAGAGAAAATCTCTCTTATATCCGGGTTTCTCTTATATCCGGGTCTCTTATATCCGGGTTACACTGTATATATATATATAAATATTCATTTCACACCTTGCAAGGCTCGGACGCTTTTTTATTCAAATAAGGTGTGCATATGGTTGGAAGGAAAAAAAAATTAATTGACTTATGTGTTTTCTAAAGCTTACCAACATTTTACAGGTTATTTAAAGCCAGAAAATATTTTTAGAATGCAAGACTCCCATCTCTCTAACCCAACCCATTCAGTACACGTGCTCCCTGAAATGGAGACGTATTTTTAGTGTCTGCTACACTTTCTACTGAATGACCATTGATTCAAGGTTAACAAGATTTAACATGAAATTCCATTTGTCAGTACTAAGAATCTCTTTTTCCATTTTTTTATGTATTTTTTTTTCAGAGTCGGAATGTCACTGTTATTTAAGTGTTGGTTGCCGTCAGTTTTCTTCCAAGGAAGGCGATAAAGCCACTAGGACACAGGGATTTTAGGGAGTGAAAGAGAATGAGAAAATGAGAATGCGTGTTCACTTTACATCGCTAAACAAATCGACCGCTCTTTGAGTCCGTTTTTAATATATCTTCGCTGCAGTCGGGCGATAACTTATCCGTCTATTTCTATGCCTTAACCGAAAAGCTTTTGTTCCTTATAAATCCAGACTTTTATATATATATATATATATATATATATATATATATATATATATATATATATATATATATATATTTTTAATTTACTTCACAAAATACAATTCTCAGGCGCTGTTGTTCAAATTAGTTGTGCGGTATGATTAAAAGAAAAGGCATTTTCCCCGAACCGCTCCATGTTGACCTGATGATGAAGATGATGATGATTATATTTTTATTATAAAAGATAATAATAATAATAATAATAATAATAATAAATTAAATCGCTACACAAAAGGTTTCACGTTTCAATATTATACTTGTACTTCTTCAGGTGATGGTAATTAACGGTGATTAAATGATTCTTATGGAATTTTAAAAACAAAGTGTTACCTCTTTTCCGAAAGTTAAAGTGGGGGACATAAGGTCAGAATCGAAAATAGACTTGTGGGTATGTCTTGAGTAACCAATTACTGCTGAGTCAAGCAAGGATATACAAGTAATAGAATTTTGGTAAACAATCCGTTGGGTTAGGAAAACTTGGATGGGTTTCACCAAGGAATTTGTGAGTAGCGGCGCTATATCAAGTCTATTCAGTTTCTTCTTCGTCACGGCACGGGTTCGAATCTCGATAGTGGATGCGCACTGCTGATGAGTCCCAAAATAGGACAATACATTCTGTTGAGGATTCTTGCCTAAATTCTCAAAATTCTATTACACACACACGCACACACACACAGACACACACACACACACACACACACACATATATATATATATATATATATATATATATATATATATATATATATATATATGCATGTTTCATTAAAATTCATTTAAGCTGAAAAACCGAATTATCCTTGATAATATCTAAAAAGTATAGCCGAATAAAAAACATTTGGACAGTTCTTACACACCACTGTCTAGAAAAGAAAGCTCTTGTTCAAACAAAAGAAACATTAAATAAAAAGCTTAACCGTAGTACCTTGTCTGTCCTTTTTTTATGAAACATGCATAAAGGAAAGATTGCTGCCT